TTTTTTTTTTTTTTTTTTTTTTTTTTTTTGGTACTGGGGATCCAACTCCAGCCCTTGCGCTTGCGAGGCAGGCAGTGGAACCACTGAGCCTAATCCCAGGCCCTAGAGTTTTGTTACATGGTGCCAAGTCCAAGTTCCCTTCCTCGGGCTTGTACCATTTTACATTCCCGCCAGCAGTGCATCAGAGTGTCTATTTCTTCACAGCCTGGCCAACAGTATATATGAGTGTATATAATATCAGAGGGAAAGGAAATCAGGCACTAAAGTGGTAAGGACAGATTTTAATCCGTAATAGAGTATTCCAATAAGTTAGAGTCCAGTATAAACTGAACTCAACTTCAAATTGTACAAAGGTGACTAGACGTGGGGGAAGAGAGAGGGGGTTGAAAGGGATTTAGTGGAATTTAGAAATGGAAAATTGCAAAAAAGTGAGAAAGGTTTACATCAAACCCATTCAACTAGTACTTGTAAAAGTTAGATTCCTTCCTTCCCATGGCGAATGGGTGGGTGTTGGCTCTAACGGTAAATTATTTTAGCTGTCTTGAGTTTCTTCTGTGCAGGCTTTTTAAGAGAGGGCAGGATCACCCTACAGATGTGGCCTTGAGCCATTAGAAACTGGTAGCGTGTTCAAGTCTTTTTAGGCCAAGTTTTAGGCCTCAAGATGAATATGTAGTGGTAAAGGTGGTTTAGAGGATCCTGGCTAAAGTTTGATTGAGGACGGAATCTTTGCCACTGGTTAGTTTAAAAATTTTTAACATCTAATGGGTGAAAATTTTTATTATAATTTTAATTTATTTGTCCTATTATGAGTAAAGTTGAACATGATTTCCAGGTCACTTTTTGGTGCTGTCATTACTTTTTTGTTTTTGGTTTTGCTTTCAAAACAGGATCTTTGTAGTCTAGGGTCAATTCACTAAGTAGCTCAGGCTGGTCTCACACTCTCAGCGATCCTCCTGCCTAAGACTCCCTGGTGCTGGGATTACAGGCCTCTGCTACCACACCTGGCCCAGAGGCTTGGGAGGCCTTGCTAATGTGTATAGTGCTGTTGAGTGAGCACATTGGGTCCATTTTTTTTTTTTTATGTCACTGTGAAGTGTGTTCTTTTGCCTCCTGTCTCATTTTTCTGTAGAATTATTGGGGTTTTTTCAAACTTCTTTGTTTATTTGTTTTTGAGGCAAGTTTTCAACTGTGATGCCTATGTGGCTTGAACTCTTCAGCTGAAGTGATCCTCTTGTTTTATACTTGCCAGTGGCTGGGACTACAGGCTAGTACCTCCATATCAGCTTCTGAAACTTTTAAGAGGTTTTTTTTTTTTTTTTTTGGTAGATATGGGCTATTAACGCTTTAGTGCGAATTTATGTTGTGAATATTTTTTCAAGTGTGTCACTTGTCTGCTGACTTTGATTTCATTGATTGTTTGAATTAGTTTTCTATAACTCATTCTATAGGAATGTCCAGGTTTGCTTTTATGTTATTAGCAGGTAGAAATGGTTTGCTTCTTTTCCCACCCTTTGCCTCTCACTGTTTCCTGTAGTATAATTGCATTGGCCAGACCTCCATAATTTTGTTAAATAGTGGTGGAGATGATGAGCATCCTTTGTTCCTGGGCATAGTGATTTATGTCTCAGAATTTTCTCATCATAAGGAAATATCCATCCATTCTCCTTTTTGTATTAATTTTTAGTTAGGAGTGCATGTTAAATATTATCAAAGTTTTATTTATCTCTTGTGATGATCATTTCATTTTTCCTAAACCTATTAGTAGGGTGGATAATATTAAGAGACTTTGAAGATTAGACCATTTATAGCATTTTTGGTGTAACACCTTCTTGGGTCATCTAACTCTGGATCTTAACTCTTGTTTTACTACTTCAGTTTAAAAAATTAAATATGTATATATTAAGTATATACATACAAGTTAGTATTTTTAATAGATCATTGAGTGTTTGATAAATGAGAAATGAGAGATCATCATGGGAAGAAAAAACTTCCCACTACCAACTGTGCGCAGTAGCTGTTTTTACTGTAGCTCTTTTCACTAGTTGTGTATCTTGGAGGCTTACTTACACTACAGTCTTAGCCTTTCAGTGTATTAGCAACGTGATCAATTGTGACTGATGTATCACAAACTAAAGGAATCTTAGAACATCTGAAATGATGGTATTTCAATATGGCAAATGGGAAGCCTGCAAAATAGAAATTAGGCAGAATGACTTTTTACAAAAGATGGGGAAAAAAAAGCCATGCCTTCTCATTAGAGAAAAGATTGATTTGTAGTCACTTACTGTTTTATAACCTTGTTTATATAAAACATTGCTTTAAAATTTTAATGTCAGTTATGGGATATCTGTATCCATTTGATTTAAAGAATTTGGAGATGTGCAAAGCTATTTATTTATTTTACACAAATGACGTGATTGAATTATAAATCCAACCTCCATTTTTCTGTGACTCAGGTCCAAGGATAAATATAAATTTGTGTTTGCATGTTTAGGAGTGTCTTTGTAAAAACACGTTTGAGAGAATTTACAGTGCTGTTTATGGAAAGAACACTTGCTCATTCAGTAGTATTCTTTGGTTCTGTGACTGCAGTTGATCCACACATGGTACACTGACTGTTGCTACTGATGAGCACAAAAATAACAGGTTGAAATGGGGATTCAAAAAATTTTACCCTTGAGTTTTCACTTTAAATGTGTTGGTAGAGGTGGTTTTCTTACTCTCATTTTTAAAATAATCTGATTAGTAATATAACATTTTATTTTGATTAGCTATGTATTTAAGTAAACAACAATTTGAAAATTGGCTTTTCTTATTTTTTTTAGCACGTTACACCCGAAAGCTATATTCCCTGCCTTGCAGATCTCTGCAAAGCACTGTGGGAAGTTATGCTCAGCTATTACAGGACCATGGAATGGCATGAGAAGCATGACAGTGAGGATGCTGCTTCAGCCTCTGGTAGGAAATTATTCTGATTTTATTTTAAAACTTGAACTATATAAAACATACCATATTTCTGGAGTTAGAAGAAGGGAAAAGGGACAGGATACCTTTAGAAATTCAGATAAAAGTGACAGTAGATTAAATGCTCATCAAAGAAAGTGATTCAGCTACTACAAAAGCTTTGTGATCTTTGAAGATTAGCTGGACCAAAGAGCTAAGTGTCCAGTACTACCAGAGCCTAGGGATATGTGCTGATGGACTTAAGACTGAATTGAGTCATGGGGAAGATATTTTTTTTTAAACAAATGATTTATTTAGCTGGGGATGGTGGTGCATGTCTATAACCTAGCATTCAGGAGGCTGAGGCAGAAGGATTGCTATGAGTTCAAGGTCAGTCTAATCTATAAACAAATGAAAACAATGATTTATTTAATATTAGTTGCAAACTAGACAAGACATTGGTCTGTTCAAATGTACTATGCAGTCATTGCTAAATATTCAATCTTAATCTATTTTGCTAATTTTCACATTGTACTAATGCTACATTCTAAGAACTAATAATTGTATTGATACTTTTCTTCTGGAAAATATATGAATATTTTGAATTTTGTAAAATATTCATCTTTGGGAAGTACAACTTTAAACGACTGAGATAGACGGCTAAGTAATAAAGAACAAATCTGAGAAATTATTCCATTAGTCATTCTATTAAAATTACTATTTTAATATAATTATGTATGCTAAGTATCTGAATAATAGCTAAGACTGGTTATTGAAAATACTTTCATAAGCAATAATTATTTTATTAGCCTTTTGTTTGATATATGTAAAATAAATTGTATACTATATAAGTGTTTTTTTTTATCACATGCAGCTTAATGTCGCTAATTAGGTTAAGTTATTTCAGTAACTTCCGATTTCTAAGGTGTTTGGTTATTGTTGTTGAGTGGTGCAGAAAACATCTAACATCACTATTTGATTAAACATAGGGTTTTGATAAAGTTAAAAGGTATAAGTTTAATCTCTTTGATTCATAAGAAGTTCATAAATATAGAAAGCCAAAAATAAGAGAGGAAAAGTATATGGATGAACTTCATCTACTTAGAAGTACTGTAGGAGAGGGTAATGAAAGGAAAAGGTGGAGAAAGGTGGACCAGTATGCCAGAGGTAGAGCCAGTGGTAAAATGGCTGCGTGCACATGCAGTGACCTGGGTTTGATCCCCAAACTGGGAAAGAAAAAAACCCAAAACATAAGAAAGCAAGACCATACAAAGCCCATGGATTGTAGACCAGGCTGTTTTTACCCACGCCTTATATTTCACCTTGCAATTACCTCTGGGAATATGTAATCGCAGAGGCCTGGCTTTCAGTTTTTACTGTCATTTACCAAAGATAAAGAAACATAAAGAAATAACATAAAGAAATTATGTTCTTTGTCTAGTCTTCAGTTTGCTGCTTAAAATACTCCTTAAGTTTAGAAAGAGTATAGTATAATTGTTAATATCATGAAAGGAAACACTTTATTTCCATTTTTCATTTTCTCATAGTTTTTTCATTTCCCTAAATGGGGAGGGGAGGAGAGGGTGAAGGGAGGGCAGGGACAAGGGGAAAAAATGAGAACCAAGACCTGTCATGTAGAGGTACAAGATCCCAATAATGAATGTAACTGTACTGTGTACCTAAAATGTACCAATAAACTCAATGAGAAAAAAAATATAAAAGGAAAGGCAGTTGTTATAGCTGTAGAGGTTTTAAAAAAAAACTTTTTTTTTTTTTTTTACCCAATGTTCTTAGAAATTTCTGGGCTCATTGGGATTCCACTCTTAGATTATCTTATTTTGGCAACTTTTTTAATATTTTTCTGGATGTGGACTCTATTAAGATATTCCAGCAATCCTTTTTCTTCTTGTAATTCATTAAGGAAAAACTAAAGGAAACGTTAGCAACAGAATTAACACATGTACTAAGTCTAAGAATTCATAAGTATATACAATTACTGAGTCAATAAAAAATTAAAAATAAAGAATTTAGAGGACTGTATATATTCATTATAGTAAAGCAGGCTTTTTGCTTAAGGACAGTAGTTTACATTTTTTGGAATACTGAGTCCATCTTGAAAGTATTTTCCAAAGCTTCATATACTCAGTCCATTTTGCTGAAAATTCTTTAACCTCAATCTGTTTATTTTTTGGTTTTTGGTTTCTTTAAGCAAATCCAGGGCCTTGCACACGGATCTCCAGCCCCAGTCTTTATATTCAGGCAGTCTGATTATCATTGTAGCAGTTGCATGATAATATCTAAGACTCTAAAAAGTTATTTGTTAGGGTCAAATTAATGCTTTCATATTCATATTTAGTAATAAAACTGTAAGAATCAAAAATTTGAAAATTATTTTCAACAGAACTTCATAAAGCTGATGTAACTCTAGAATTCATCTACTTGTAGTGATGGCATTTGATATTTAGTAGCCTAATATTTTTAATATTCTACACAAAACTCTGAACCCATTTTTTAGTTTTTCTGCCATTGCTACTCAGTCCCCCACAGCCACATCATGCATATAATTAATGTCTTGTAAAACAGAAAACTGCCAGGTTGCCTGAACAGAACACTTTGACACATGAAGAAAGAGCAAATCGGCTTTAATGCTGGCAGCTCAGCAGGTGACTCTTGTCAGTCTCAAGAGCCCTGAATAGAAGTTTGTTTTTCTTTATATACCTCTTTTTACATTTACAAGGTTTAATTTTATTAGAGTTTCTCTGGGAATATAGCAAGCAGGATTTACACCAAGCACAGGCAGGTGAGGGAAGAGCAGAGAGTTCTGGCAGGACTTTCTGAGTCTGTTACACTCTGGTGACAGATTGCAGAAGCTGTCATGGTTACACAGGTGTATTCTACAAAGAGCATAGCTATCCATTTAACTCATAGTTGCTCAGTAACACAGTTAACACATAGTTGTCCAGTAACTCGATTAATCCGCAGTTGCCAAATTCCATCTGGAGCGGTGGTCTTCTCTGTAACACTCAGTGCTCAGAGGTGACCTAGGCTGTTTATGGCCTGGTTTACCTGGCTGGCTGTGCAAAGACTGTGTCCTGGTTTACCACCGTACACCTTGCTTACCTGATGAAGATGATGTTATACTCAGTCATTCTTCACTTCATTTGCACAAACATGTACTCTTTAATTTAAATTGTGTATGTGTATTTTCACTTGTTTTTAGAGGGAAATTTGAGGTGATTTATTGATTTACTTGTTGAACTGAACATTATCAGATTATTTATCTGGAATGAACCATACTGTTACCATTATTTCACTGCATGAGTAGTTCTGCAATCTGTGCTCTTTTTGGCGTCATGTTAATTGGTGATTAGGTTCATTGGTCCTGTTTTGCCCAGGTGCCAGTCTGTCACATGGTCTTAGAGTAGGCAGTATGTGTTGATGTAGAACCTGGTTGCTGGGATCACACTGCTGGGTGGGAATCTGTGCTCCAGTCACGTATGTGCTGAGCGGTCTTAGGTGTGTACAGTCTAAGGTTACCTCTGTTATCAAATGACTTTAATCCTAGTACCTGTTTTTTTACATTTAATGTATACAGATCAGATATACGGTATTTTCTGTATCTTACATTGGCCCACAAAAATAAGAAAGCAAATGGAAATTATTTGGAAAAAAACAAGTCGAATTAAGTCTAAAAACATATGCCTTCTTTTTTTTCAGAGGGGAATAATGTGATGGATACGGAAGAAGCTAATTTTGATCGTGGCTATGTAAAAAAGAAATTAGAACATGGGCTTACGCGAATATGGCAGGTTTGGTTTTTTAAAATTATTTTTTCACAAGCAATGGAAACTTTGATGTTGAAGATATTTTAGAAATTCAACTTTTAAATTTTTTATATTCATATTTTTTGCAGATTTAATCAAATGATAGTTTCTCTTTGAAATTAGGCTGTTTAATTTCTGTAATTTGTTTGGAAATTTTATTGGACTACAAATGGCCATAAGAAAAGTCTTCTAGCTTAAAAATCTCCATTGGAAACCTTCATGTATTCTTTATTAAATTTTTGCTTTTACTGTGTTAGTAAATGTATACTTTTCTAAAGCAATTTATATTTATTGAGATGTTCTATTTTTTATTTACTCATATCCTTAATTTTCTCTTAATTTTAAGAAAGGGATAATTAAGTAGGTTACCTTCGGGTGAGTGTTTAGTATAGAAAAACGTATTTTTTTTCTCAGTGAGCACTGTGCCTTTGGAGGAATCTTACGTGGTTATTGGCTTAGTGTATTTGTTTTAGTATAGTGGGACTGCTAAAACAAAATACCTACATAAATTTAGAAGCAACAGAAATGTATTTCTTAGAGTTCTGGAGGCAGAGAAGTTTAAGATTAAGGCACTGGCAGATTTTGTGTCTGGTGAGGTCTTGTCTCCTGGTTCATAGATGGTGCCTTCTTGCTGTGTCCTCACATGGTGGAAATGGAAAGGAATACCCTTTCTGGCAGGCTTCTTTCCCAAGGGCATAGGCCTTGGTGAGGGCTCCTTCCCTTCCCTCAGAAGGTTCAACTTCATAAGACCATCTATCACCTCAGGGGTTAGCATCTCAGCACATGAATTTTGAGGTGGACCTAAACATTCAGACCATAGTAATATCTTTTGAGGTTTTTCTTTCAGGTTAGTGGCTCAGTAGTTGTCATCAGATAATTTTTTAATTCTTTAAAATTTGATATTTCCTAGAACAAAGTGTAATTTCTCTGAGAGTAAATTTGTCTTGGCCTGGAATGTTGAAAACCTATAGACCCTTTTACCGTCTTATAGCCTTTTAAAATGTATTTTTGATTTTCCTAATGAGGCTGATTTTTAGCTTGGAAAAAAATTGTTTAGGAAAATATATCCTGAAATCATAAATTTCTTAAAATCATGTAACACAATATAGTTCTATTTTTTGCTAACTTTATATTAGGCATGCTTTTTAAATTTGTATTTTCATACTTTAAAATATTTATATGATAGTTGTAAGAGATTCAACTTCTGTATTTTCTTATATGATCATATTAAACCAGTTTTAATTTACCATTAATTGTGAATTTGGGCCACTGTTTTTCTAAGTATTATGTTTAAAGGAAAAGCAAATCTCATACTCGTTAAATATATGCCTATGGTCAGATAAGTCTCTTCTGGTTTAGCTTCCTAGTAGACCTTAATTGTACACAGTTTAAATTATAGCATCCAAGGCAGAAATTCTTATAACTGCAATGTATGTTGAAATACCTGGCTGGTTTTCATTCAGTTTGACAACCTGAGGGCATTCCTGATAGAGGGAAAACTGATGAAGTTTAGTAAACTATTTTCACTTAAGTGGTTAACCAGTTCATGGAAGTCATCATGCTTTGGGTATAAACTACTGTGTTCTAGTTGCAAGCCCAAGTGTCTTCACCTCCACCACTCCTCAGTCCCCTCTGCATCCCTGATCTACTCTCAACATGTGCTAGAACAGAACTTTGCATGTTTTAGGGACTCATTGAATGTTTATTAAATTGAAATGAAAAAGCTCAGTACAGTTGAAAAAGCAAATGTTACAAACAATTTTTTAAAATTTGGTAGCAGCAGGCAAAATCCTGCATCAAGCTCATTTTGCAGCACAACCTGGTCAGTATTATCTTTTGGCTACAGCTAGTATTTATTATCCATTAAATTGATTTTTTTTTTTTTTGGTGGGGGGGACTGGGGATCGAACTCTGGTCTTTGTGCTTTCGAGGCGGGCGGCAGAATCACTGAGCTAAATCCCCGGCCCCCTAAATTGAATATTGATATGTTGCAGGAATATGACTATGTCTGATTAAAGGATGTTGCTGCAGTCCCTATGCTAGGGATGATATATATAGTATATGCCATATGTTCCTTATTTCTTTTCTGACATTGGAAATTCTGAGTTCCAACGTGCTTTTGGCTAAGGATGGATTCAGATTAAGCAGTAAACCAATTAAGAGATGGAATAAAGTCAGAAAATTTGCCTGTAATCTTAAAGGATCCTCCCCCTAAGATGTATCATTGTACCACGAAGAAGTGAGTCGTTACACACATGCTAATTTTAAATCCTGGGTGTGGTAACCTGTAACAGTATCTTGCTGGAATGTAAATTAATTTATGATTTCTGCATTGGTTAGGATTTAGAGAGATACAAAAGACATCTCTTACCTCTAACCTCAGAAATAATCAAGGTACACTACAAAATGATTTTATATATATATCATACACATATTTTATATATTATATATACATTCATTCAAGCAAAGAGGCAAAGAAACCTAAACAAACAAGATTAAGGACTCACTTTTAAAATTCTTAGACCATTTGTGGGATAGTCATGTAGTTCCTTCATGTTAGGAATTGGATTCTATATGTATATATATTTTTTCATTAACTTTTTGGTACATTTAATGGATACAATATAATGACATTCATTGTTGGAACCTCGTACCTTTACATAATCAGTCTTGGTTCTTATTTTTTCCCCATTCCCTCCCCTCAACCCTCCCTCCCTCTCTATTTACAAAGACTGTTTCTATTATTTCTCATTTTCTCATTTTAATTCCATTACCTTCTTTCCTTTCCCCTACCCCTCCCATGTTCCCTTCCTCTTTGTCCCTTTTCTCCCTATTTCACATTGTCTGTTATACCTTTTATGTCCTCATTTACACTTACAGTTTCTCACACTAGAGAAATTATTTGGTATTTACACGTGTGTCCTGTTTATATCACTTGAGTATTGCCTCAATGTGCATCCATTTTATTAAATCAAACTTGTTAATTGTATTATTCTGTTAATCTATATTCTGTTTTTTTGTTGTGTTTTCTTAATCTGTGCAGTTCTAAAGGAGTTTTACTCTTCTAGAATGATTATAGTTTTGTCAAGTTTTTCTTTTTATTTCTGCTTTTTATGTTAGGAAGGTATATTAATGCTGAGGTACTAATAACCACTTTACTTTCTCTGTACATAATTCTCTACATTAATTAAGATAAGATCATAATTTGTTTTTTTTATTCTGAGGCATTTTGCTATACATTCTAGTTGGCTTGATATTTTTATTACCACACATGTCTATTTTGCTTATATTTCCTTGGTAAATGTTTGACCATCTATTTTTAAAAAATGTTTTTGGATTGTATTTTAGTTGTGTCCCCTATATTGTAAAAAAAAAAAAAAATATATATATATATATATATATATATATATACATATATATATAATTTTTAGACTATTTGTCTTGGTTGATTTCTTTTTTTTTTTCTTCTTTTTTTTTGGTTTTTTGAGACAGAGTCTCACTATGTAGTTCAGCCTGCTCTGGAACTCACTGTGTAGCCCAGGCTGGTCTCAACTCACAGGGATCCTCCTGCCTTAGCTTCCTGAGTGCTGGGATTACAGGCATGTGCCACCATGCCCAGCTAGTTGATTTCTGTTATGTACTTTTAAATACATTTAATATAAGTAGTACAAGTCTTCTGGTATTACTTGTAATTTTTATTCAGCTTTTACAAAGCTTTATCTTTAAAAAAAATAATTTTGGCCTTTTATTCTTCTAGGTGAGCTTTAAAATAATTGTTTAGAAAAAAGATTTTGTTGTGATTTTTCTTAGAATTTCATTAAACATAACATTAATTTGAAATTGTTATATTATTTAGTCACTCATCCCATCCCATCCCATTACTTTCAGTAGACTGAAATTTCTTTTCAAGTTTCTTTTTGTATATCATTAGAGTTGCTGTTGTTTTCTTAAACGTGAGGTATTTTTAAAAATTAGTCTTACTGTATTTAAATCTTGTTTTAAGTGAAATATCTCCATTGTAAGTACTTGGCAGTTGCATGAAGGTTACCAGTTTTTATATATTGTCTTGCTCTTAGTTACTTCACATAGTTATTTAGTTTTACATTGATTATTTTGGGGTATCTGATGAACCACAGTTATGCATAAAGATTTTTTTGCCCTCATATTCATTGTGAGGATATAATTGTGTGTGTGTGTTTAGAATTTTATGGAACTGTATTCAATTATAGCAGTGATTCCAGGTGTTTTTATTTTCTATCTGATATTCATAGAATTGTCTCTATTATGTTGCCCTAAGAATGTTACCTATTGGCTGGGTGTGGTGGTGCACGCCTATAATCCCAGCACTCCGGAGGCTGAGGCAGGAAGATCACTGTGAGTTCAAGACCAGCCTAGACTACATAGTGAGTTCCAGGTCAGTCTGAACTACATAGTGAGACCCTGTCTCAAAAAACCAAAAAGCAAACAAACAAACAAAGAATGTTCTCAATTGGCCGAAATAGATATTTTTTCATCAAGTTAAAAATGTATTCCTGTATCACTTTATTCTGTAAGTGAAAATAAATGGTACTGAGAACTTATTTTCTATATTTTGGGTATTTGAAATTTTTTTTTTTTTGTCTCATAGGATGTTCAGCTTAAAGTAAAAACTTACTTGCTTGGAACTGATTTGTCTATATTCAAATATGATGATTTCATCTTTGTTTTGGATATAATCAGCAGGTAATGTTTGAGCCTTGTCTTATTCTTTAGTTTGATTCATTCAACCATGATAATCAAAGAAATCACGAATTAACGAGTTATTATGTAGAATTTCTTCATGGAAATGAAGATAATCATACATCCATAACTAATTGCTACTGGGTTTTGTATGTGCATGTGTTCAAATATTTCTGCCCTTTGGATGTTTATAAAGCATTGTGAATTTTTGAACTTTAAACATTTTCAAATATCTAAATTTTTATGTTTCGTTGTCTTTGAAGAAAAAGAGCCTAGAGTTTTTTTCTCTGTAAGGGTGTTGCTGAAATTTACATAAATTTTTCTATTCACCTAGGTTAATGCAAGTTGGAGAAGAATTTTGTGGTAGCAAGTCTGAAGTTTTACAAGAATCTATTAGAAAACAAAGTGTCAATTATTTCAAGAACTACCATAGGTGAGCACTCTGGTACTGTGTGAATAAATTTTATTGAGGTAATGAGAATATTTTTGTCTAGTGCTTACTCTTATAGCATTAATTGATTTAAAACAATTATATTTGAGTAATTACATTCTTGTAGTTCTTTTTGGGATAGTTAAGGTTTTAACAAAAATATGATAAAATAATCCTCATTACTTACTAATCGTGAATCTTAATATATTCTTTCTTGAGGGGCTGATATATTGGACTAAATGTTGAACTGACTTCTTTAAGGGTAAAAGATAATCAAACTTCACTAAAAGAATTTGGCCTCTGTTCCATGTACCATGTATATGATGTGAGCACTAAGGAAGCTAAATCACTAGAGGCTGTACTTGGTAATTGCATCTGCCTTTTAGGAGTAAGGAGGCTTTAGAAGAAAGGATGTGATAACTCACAGTGTAACTACAAAGCCGAGACTGTGTAGCGCATTGCTTTGGGTAATTAGAAATGGTTTTGGTTTTGGGGATGGATGAAAATGAGAAAGAATATTCATACAGCAGCAGTGCATTATATGCTTAAAACAGTGTTGAGGAGAAAAGGAGAATTAATATTTATTAGACCTTTCTTGATGTAAACTAGAACCTGATCTATTTCCCTGAAAGCATTTTTTTTTTTTCATTTGAATTAAGTTTTGCCTTCCTGTTTATTTGGAACTTTCACCTTTTGGATTATTTTGTTATTTGGTGCCAAAAAGTGTGAGGATTTGAAATTGTATTTTCTGTCTTATATACAGTGATTACATTCATTGTGAGGAATTGGTACATGTACATAGCGTATTTTGATTCTTTTTATGTCCCCTTAAGTACAGGTTTTCTATGCTGATTGTGAACTGTTAAGTAAAGTATTTTGAAAGAATATTTAACTTGCATCTGTACCAAAGCAGTCTTTCAGTTTAATAATTGAATTAAGAGCATGTTTAAAAAATATTTTTAAATGTAGTTGAATAAACCTTGAGAAAACAATGGTAAGGGAACAACATGAAACCCTATCATTTATTACTTCCTGTTCTGCTACAACAGAAAGCTGGTTTATCACATTGTAGTACATATGGGGTGGCTTGGGGGCTTTTAAGCACAGATTGAAAAAAAAAAGGAATCACAAAGGAGCCTCATTTCTGGTTCCAGTATGGAGACAATCTGGTACTTGTTTCCCCAAAGATTGATTTGTCCCCAGCAAGACAACTGGGAGACATTTTGTTGTTTCTAATGTCTGGTAAGGTAAAAATAATGATTCCTGGAGTAGCCTCATTGTCAGAAACTGTCTTCTGTGGCAATGGGCATTTTATTTTATACACTGACCATGATATATTCCTTCCAGGAGTTCACCTTGGTAGAATACAGAAATTAATCATCATTGTCATCATCGTCATCATTATTATTATTTGGTACCGGGGATCGAACTCAGGTCCTTGTGCTTGTGAGGCAGGCGGTGGAACCACTCAGCTGAATCCCTGGGCCTGAATTATTTTAATATTTACAAAATACTCTACATTTTAAAGGACTTCTCTTAAAAATATTCATGAAACTTGTTTCTCACCGATAAGGTTATAGTGTATTTATTGATAGAAAGTAGCTTGAGAGATAATAGACACAGATTCTTGAACCACTTTTTGCTGCTTACCATCTCATTAATATTGGGCAAACTATAGAACCGCTCTGGACTTTGGTCCTATTTGTTGTAAGCTCAGGTAGCTGGACTAAAAAAAGCTCTTTGTAAGGGTGACCTGCATACCTTACCTTTTTTCTTGCTGCATTGTGTATTATAAAGAATAGAGCAGGATGAAAAGCAGAGGTAATTGTTTTTTAGATTCTCTCTCCCTAGTGTTTAAGAAGAAGCTTGGGCCCATTTTCTAATGTCCTCTTCAAAGTCTGTCTGCAGAGCACTTTCGTTTTTACTCTGGCAATCCTTAACCTTATTAGTTAGGTTGATTCCTAGGTATTTAAGTTTTTTGTTGTTACTGTAAATAGGATTGTTTTCCTGATTTTTTTTCTTAGTGGATCATTATTGGTGTATAAGATTGATTTTTGTATGTTGATTTTGTATCCTGCTACTTTGTTGAGTTTGTTTATTGGTTCTAAATCTTTTGGTGGAGATTTGGGGTCTTCTGTATAAGGGATTGTGTAATAATATAATAATAGCATAATATATAATGTGTAATAATATATAATAATAATAATATAAAGGTAGTTTGACTTCTCTCTTTTCTAGTCATAGTCTTTCTCTTGCCTGATTGCTGTGGCTGAAGTTTTGAGAATTGTATTGAACAGGCAAGAGTGGACGCTCTGGGTTGCTGATTTTAGAGGAAATGCTTTCAGTTTTTTTTCCGCTTAGTGTGATGTTGGCTGTGGGTTTGTCATGAATGGCATTTATCGGCTTGAGTCATTCTGTATGTAGTTTCATTAGAGTTTCTCTTATGAATGAGTGTTGAACTTTGTCAAAGGTTTTTTTCTGCATATCGCAAGATGACCATGTTTTTCTTAATCCTTTTTATTCATATAGCTCATTACATTTATTGATTTAGTATGTTGAACCATTATTGAGTACTTGAATTTGACTTGGTGATGATGTGTGATCTTTGTAATGATTTGTTGCATTCTGTTTACATGTAGCTTGTTGAGGAAAACATACAGTTACGTGTGGAAAGGTTTATTTTGGCTCACAGTTTATAGAGATTTTAGTCCATAATCAGCTGGCTCCAAGGCAGAGTAGCATGGCAGAGGGGCACCATAGAGGAGAAGTAATAGTCCATGGTGGGACAGATAGGAAGCAGCAAGCAACGACTACAAGCCTCCTTTTCCCTTTTATCCCATCCAGGCTGTAAGGCTTGTGGGTGTTCCTTCCCACTGTCTACACCCAGAACTGTGCTAAACCAACCGTGCACTGGTTCATCGTATACCGTAGATCCAGCCTCCTCCAGAAACCGTCACCTATAAGCACGTGCAGCTTCACGGGACCGCTAGACACAAGCCATAACTAGACTTTTATGTCTCTGTCCATTAAAGATATTGCCCACAGGTTTTTTTGGGTTTTTTTGTCTAATCCTTATCTGGTTTTGGAATCAGTGTAATAAGTTTGACAGTGTTCCATCCCTTTTAATTTCATGGCAGAGTTTGAGAAATTTTGGTAGTAAGTCTTTTCTGAAGTTCTGGTAAAATTCAGCAGTAAATCCATTGGTTTCTAGGTTTTCTTGGTAGAGTTTTTTTTTTTTTTTTACTGCCTGTTATTAGTCTATTCAGGGTTTTAAAGTTATCTTAGTTCAAGTTTGGTAATTCATATGTTCCTAGGAATGTATACATTTTTTCTAGATTTTCCAATTTATTTGAAAGAAGTTTTCAAAATAGTTTCTTCTCATCCTTTGGATCTTAGCACTGTCTGTTGTGATGTTGCCTTTTTCATTTCTAATTGCATTGGTAGAGGTCCTTTTCTTTCTTTCTTTTGGTAAGTTTGACTGAGGGTTTTTGATCATATTTATTGTTTCAGAGAAACAACTCTTTGATTCACTGATATTTTGTATTTTTTCTTTAGTCTCAATTTCATAGATTTCTGCTCCAATCTTTATAATTTATTTCCTTCTCTATGGGGTTTGGATTATTGCTTTTCTAGGACCTTGAGGTACATAATTAGGTTTTTTATTTGGTAATGTTCTATTTTCCTAAATTTCCCTTTTAGAAAATGCTTTCATTGTGTCCTACAAGTTTTGGTATGGGTACTGCCATTGGTATTTCCTTCTAGGAACTTTTAAATTTATTCCATGATTTCTTCTGTGCTCCATTGACTTCAAGAATATATCATTTAATCTTCATGTGTTTACATAGTTTTGTATTTACATACTTTATTTTTCTATTGATTTCTAGGTTTATTCCATTGTGAACTGAAAGGATGCAGATTATTTGAATTCTTTTGCCATTATTGAGACATGTTTTTTGGGGAAAGTTCTTTGGGCTAGTGTCAGGAATGTGTACTTTGCTGTTGTTGCTTGAAACACTCTGTAGATATCTGATAGGTTCATTTATTCATTGATAGGGTACAACTGTGGTATTTCTTTGTTGAGATTTTGCCTGATTGACCTGTCTATTTGTGAGAGTGGGGTATTACAGTCCCCTGCTATGGTTGTATTGGTTTTATCTGTCATTTTTTAAATTATGGAATTGGGGTTCCCAGCGTTCAGTGTGTATACTTACAATTGTACATTCTTTTTGAATTGTTTCCTTTATCAACATGTGGTGACCTTCTTTGTCTCTGATCAGTTTTTGCTTGAAGTTTACTTAGTCTGAAATTAGAATAGCTATTCCTGCTTGCTTTTGGGCTCCACTTGCATGGAGTATCATTTTTCATCCTTTTACTTTCAGGCTACATGTTTCTCTGTGGGTGATGGTATATCTCTTATAAGCTACATATAATTCAGTTTTGTTTTTTAGCTGATCAGCCAGTCTGTGTCTTGATTGGGGAGTTAAAATAATTTACATTGAGCATTTTTATTGAAAGGTATTTATTCCTGTCATTTTGTTAATTTTTCAGTGCCATCCGCTTTCCATTTTTCTTTTTACTATTCCATCAGTTAGATGTATTCTTTCTGTGGGGATCTTTGATGATATTGTCCTCGCAGTCTTTGTTCTTGAATATTTTTACATTACTGATTTGGTAATCATGAATTTGTTTATATTCTATTTGTTGTAGAAGGTTTATTTTTATTTCTCTGTCAGTTTTGAAGTTTAGTTTTGCAGGATATAGTACTCTGGATTGGCAGTTTTCTGTTAGGGTTTGAGCAGCTGCTATTAGGCTTTCCTAGTATTTAAGGTTTGTGTTGAGAAATCTGCAGCAGTGAGCTTCTCTTTACAAGTGACTTAACTTTTTTTTAATGGCTTTTAGTACTGTTGCTTTGTTCTGAATTTTTTTGATTTTTGATTATAATGTGTTGTGGAGAAGTTCTTTTCTGGTTGTATCTATTGGGGTTCTAAATGTCTCATTATGGGTATCCATTTCAATCTCTAGATTTGCAATGTTTTCTGCAGTTTCACTAAATATGTTTTTTGGGGGGGCCTTTAGTTTCCTTCTCTAGCCATACTTTGACTTGTATAATTTTTTTATTGTTTTTGTTACTGGGGGTTGAACTTGGATCTTTATGCTTGTGAGGCAGGTGGTGGAACCACTGAGCTAAATCCTCAGCCCCTACTCTTAGAATTCTTGTATTAGTTCTTTTATGGTCAACTAGCAGCTTTTGAATCAACCACTGATTTCTTTTTTGTTGTTAGAGTGTAACTGTGTAAGTGATACACTGTATCACTCTTGTCTTCAAGTTTCGATATTCTCTCCTCTGACCCGTCATGTCTGTTGGCATGACTTTTGATTGTGTTTTCATTTCTGCTTGATTCTTCATATCCTTCATTGTCTTCTTTAATTCAAGTCAGCTCCTTTTGTCTTTTTAAGATCCTTGAACATCATATTATACCCTTATTTACTTATGTACATTCTCTTTAAATCCATTGAATGTCTTATGCATTTGCTTGTTTCTTCTTTAACCTTTTCAAACATTTTAATGATTTGGTGTTTGAGTCCTGTGCCACCTCCACTCTCTTGATATTAGCTTTCACAGTCTGTGAATTCTGTCATGCTTAGGGGTCAGTGGAAGATAAACCTTCTGCATGGAATTCAGTGGCCCTTGGGGATGGGGATGGGAGGAAGTACGCAGAAGTGCAGAGCTCAGGGCATTTGGGGGCAGTGGGAAGGCGCCCAGCCTGTCACTACTCCAGTGTTTTCTTCATCCTGGATCCCGCTCATCACTGTTTCATGGATCCTCAGAGCTTGAGTCTGGGTCACTGCTCAGGCCACGCCCCTTGCTTCTGTCGGTTCCTAGGGCTTACCAGTCCTAACTCAGTTCATGCCCTTGGAATGATTCCCTGGCTTGCATTTTCTTTAGTACCCTGATTGGAGAAGGCCTTGTAATGTGACTATCTAACTTGCTGGGCACTGTGTTCCAGTGGGAGGGGAGTTGGGCCAGGTGGGCACAGGGCAGCACCTACTAGCTGAGCGCTGACAGGCAGCTATTAGCAGCTGCCCTGGATTTCTTCCCTCAGGGCTGCTTTCACCATGGTGGCCTGTTTGCCAGGCCTGGCTATAGGCAGCGCTGTGTTTCTTTTCTAAGTGTCCCTGTTAGTGGGTTTCATCTGATGGGCTTTGCCTTCAAGCTGCACTCCTGTGGGTGCGTTTTTGCACCTCCCCATCATTCCTTGGACTGTGGTGTCTTCGGGGGTCTCCCAAGCACTGCTGCCTGTAACACACATGATATAGCTCTCCTCTTACGATCTTTTCTGATTCTTCCTTTTTTATTTTTCAATTTGTCTTTCAGTTTGGATAACTTCTGTTCATTCATTTTCGGGCTTACTAACCCTGTCTTCTGATATTTCTACTTTGTTGTTTCACTATCCAGTCAGTTTTTAATTGCAGGTGTTGTGTTGTTCAGTTCTGGAATATATATTTGATTTCTTTCTTTCTTTCTTTCTTTCCTTCTTTCTTTTCTTTTCTTTTCTTTTCTTTTCTTTTCTTTTCTTTTCTTTTCTTTTCTTTTCTTTTCTTTCTTTTTTCTTTTCTTTTCTTTTCTTTTTTTCTTTCTGTAACAGGAATCAAACCCGGAACCTTGTGCTTGCAAGGCAGGTGGCAGAACCACTGAGCTAAATCCCTGGCCCTTTAATTTGTTTTCATTATTGCAGTTATTTGGAATTTTCCTTCCTGTGCTTCTATATATGTGTCTATTTTATCTAACATATAATAATCATCATAAAATACTTGCCTGTTACCTCTGACATTTGGAGAAGTTCCTTCTTTTCATACATCCATCTTTTTATCGCCTCTATTTTTTAAAAAAAATCTAGATTTCATTTTAGCATGGTAGCGTCGGCTTGTGGTTGCAGGAGTCGGGCACCTACCTTTTTTCAACTGGAAATAGATTTTGTTTTTCTGTGACTCCCTGTATAACATGGAATTTACCCAGAATAGATAGTGAGAGCAAAAGCTTTAAAGAGAGAAGAGATCAGTGTGATATAAATGACTAGTAGACTGTTGAGGACATGTGTTTCTTACGTACTAATTTAATTTATAAATGCTGTGTGAGGATAGGTGCCGAGCTAAAGATCTTTGAGAGTGATTATCTTGATACTGTGCTTTAGGAAGCATGGTTATGATCCATGCTGTTTCACGCTGTTTAGCATAAAGCTTATATTACTTAATATGACCTCACATAATTTGTAAATTATTTCTCTGCATTTTGACATTGATATATGATTAGCTAAGAATATTAGAAATATATTATTTGGAGACAAGCTTTTAGTGTAGTCCCTCAATCAGAATGCCATTTCCTACACATTCATTATTTTTGCAATATGGTAAATATTTGACAGAGTTTTTCTCTTAAAGATGATGAAATATTAACAAGTAAAAGTGAACATTTGTGTTTACTGTGTTAATCTGAATGGGTTCTCAGAATTGATTCTGGTCATGATTATGAATATAATCCTGTAATTGTATTGTATTTTATTTCCTCGGCTCTTGTATGAACTATACTTTTCTTTAAGAGAGTTCATTTTCTTTTTTTAAGAACACGACTTGACGAACTGAGAATGTTCTTAGAGAATGAGACTTGGGAACTTTGTCCTGTTAAGTCAAATTTCAGTATCTTGCAACTTCATGTAAGTTTTTCTTAAGAACCAGAATCTGTCTTTTAATTATCTTTTTATCCTTTTAGTTTTTTTATATAGATAAATGAGAGTATTTATAAAATAAACTAAGCAATAATGCCTTCTTTCTTTGAATGTCATTAATAGCATGCCCCTTTTACAAGAATAATCTTTTATGAATGTGAAAAATCTCTTTTTACAAAATTCAGTTTATATGCTTCAGGAAAACTCTCTTGCCTAAAAGAGTTACAGTTAAACTGATATTTTTCTCTTGAATTTAGAAGATGGTCTATTGCTATATTCAAATTTATTAGAAAGTTAATCATTATATTTTGATACTGTTTGATAAAAATGTTTATACTGCTTAGATATGCAAACTGTCATTTCTGAAAGGGACTAATAGGCTCTTAAATTGTTCTTAAATTATAGTGCAATTCATTAATTTGTCTGTATTTAGAAAATGCCTCAGAAATAAAAGAGGCACTAAGAATTTTCTTTTTCTTTAAATCCTTGTAGAAAAAAACCATCTGTGAAAAAGTCTACAGTTGGCTTGATCTTTTTCCTTTGATTTGAACACATAGATAAGCATTCCTGGGTGGAAGATTGTGTCCTACAAATACTAAATGTCCAAATGTAATGCATGTACTTAAAAATCCATGTTTTGAAAGTATAGTGTGTTTAGTTTTGCTTTTGGGAGGCATGGCTTTCTAGAAACAGTTTTGTTAATCTGGATGAATGTAAAGAATACTGAATAGAGCCAGACTTGGTGTCACATGCTAGTAATCCTAGCTCTCAGGATGCTGAGGCAAGAGATTGCTGCAAGTTCAAGGTCATCCTGGGCTACATAGTGAGTTCAAGACCAGCCTGAATTGCAGAGTGAGACCCTGTCTGAAAAAAACAATAAAAAGAATACATGATTAGAAGGTTATTTTAAGTGATAGTCTTTATATTCATATTATACAATAACTTCTTATACTTACGCCTTCCTAATATGAGTGTTAAGAATGCTGAAATCTGTTTAATAAATGCTTCAAAGACAACAAAATTAACATTGATTTTAGTAGTAACAAATTAACAATAATTAACCTTCAGTTAACTAAAACCTACAAATTCTGATCTGAAGTATTTCCTTAACATTATTTTGAATTATAAATTTAACATCAATTTTAGAATACTTATTTAAATTTTTATGTAACTGTCAAATTGTGCATGTTTGCATATATACTTTGTATAATTGTAAGACATCTTTTCAAAAGGCATGTTAAAATATTCCCATCTATAAAAGTAGTTACCTTGAAACTGTTCATAACTTATTGTTTATTTGTTGTGTATATTCTTAGATATGGGAAATATTAAATTTTGATAAAGTAGCAAATTGAGAGTTATACACAGCAAATGAGCTGTTGAGATTATTGCAGCTGTTTTTCTAATTACCCATCTAATCTTGAACTTGACATTAAGTCTCTTCCGACTGCCTCAGTGTCCTCATCTGGGTAATACACGATTCCGACCAGGTGCTAAAACTCTTTAGCTCTAGCGTTTGTGGTTCTCCCAATCTCGATTGATCCTCTCATTTTACAGATGAGGAAATTGAAGTATGGAGAAGCCAGGTGACATTCTTAACAATATATAAGAAAGTAATGGAATGTAATGGTTTAAATAGCAAGAAAGATGTTGAAAACATAGCACCTGCCTATTAATGTATGTTTGCGTTGTCTGATGCTTGGTATAGAAGAAAAAATAAATGACAGTTTATAGACATTAACATAATGAAGAATGAAGTATACATCGTGTTTTGTTTTGATACATATGTAGAGAATGTGGTACATATTGTATAACTTAACAGTTTTTATAAGTGATTTTATGGGTTAGAGTTGTATTCATCAGGACTTTCCTGCTATGTTAAAATTTTAGATTATATTATTCTAATTTCTTTTCATAAATTTTTATGTGTACTTTTTAAAGGAGCCAAAGTAGCTTTATGCAGATTACGCTTAAGTGATTTCATTGACTGAGTTGTCTTTAGGAAAACACTTAAATGTGTATTTCCAAAACTGTAATTTTAGAAAACTTGATTTACTATATAACTATATAACCTTAGATCATAATTTTTTTCTACTAACTACATTTACAATGATAGACTATGTTTATGTACTTGAATTTTATTGTTGCTTCTAAAAAGTATCCAATTCCCTTTTTAATGTCTAGGAATTTAAATTCATGGAACAGTCACGTTCCCCATCAGTTTCACCTAGTAAGCAGCCTGTTACAACTTCTTCAAAGACAGTAACTTTATTTGAACAATACTGTAGTGGTGGGAATCCATTTGAGATTCAGGCCAACCACAAAGATGAAGAAACAGAAGATGTCTTGGCTTCTAATGGGGTAGGTGTTGCTCTTAACATACATTGTGAAATGCAAGTGAGATTTCTTTATCTAAAAGTGTTCTACCCAGTGAGCAAGCTAATTTGTTAGATTTTTTATCCACCTACCACCCAGCTTCCTGTCTACGTGCTTATGTGCCTACAGTATTAATACTGACAGAGATAATGATTTTGCAGTATACCCTGGTGATACTGTCCTTTTGAACAATAAATGTTGCCTCTGCAGTATACTTTCTGTTCTTACTGGATTACTGATATAGTGCCAGTATAGTTTCTTTGCTGCGTATTTATATAATTTACTCTGTTGAGAGATGGGTAAGGAAATTGATCATATGCATTTTTCTTTCTGCTCTATTTCTGGGGTAACTAAGTCAATCATTTTGTTCCATTTCCCCTTTTCTAAGAGAGAATAATATCTTTCTTAGTTGCCTAGAAGGAACGTTTATAGGATTAGAAGTAATGTTTCGTCAAGAACAGCATTAACTCTAATTAGTGGAAAAGGTTTGAAGGCAGGTAATGAATATAACCTTTATTACTAATTAGCTGTGTGGCCCTTGGCATATTATATTATTTGTGATTCTGAGTTTCCCCGTGTTTGCAGTGAGGAGGATGATTGCTTCATAGTTCTCTGTAAGTTGCTTTCAGAATACTTTTTTTGACTAAGGTTGTTGTTTGGTACATCTTTCTTATCTTCATAATTTCCAGAGGAACCCACTGTGATTTTTATTTTAGATTTGATGAAGCCAAAGTGAAAACTGCTCAGATATGAGAAAAATCTATTGGATTAGTCTCCATATTTAACTTTGGAATTGCTTTTTTGGTTCACTGAAGACATATTTTTAAAAAATACTACCAGGAAAATATGCCACTATCATGTTTTGTCACAGATTTATTATTTCTTATAAAGCCATGTTTAACATTGTAGTTCAGTGATTTTTTTGTTACATTTTTCCTCTTTGAAGTATAGACTAAACTGAGAACTAAAAGTCATTCCAATATTTTGAAATAATAGATCCTTCTATAATAATATGTTCATTAACATTCACATAATATTTGCTTTCATTATTTGTGGCAGTTGTATTCTATAAAATTGCTTTGAAATCTTTGCAAATGCTGAACCCTTGTTCCTAGGGAAGCTAAAGGATTAGGTTCCTGTGAACCTCTGGTTACAAAATATTTCCTAACATTTCAGTATATATTACCTTCTTTTATGTGTGCTTCTGTTAAAGATATCTCATTTAAAATATACTGTTGAATCACCAATATTGAACTCATAGCCAGTTGTACCATTATTCATGCCTAAAAGGAGTTTATCTGATACATGCATTTTCTCTGCAAGGCATACCATAGCCTTCTAGCACTGAACACTAGATAGTACTTTAATACTACTATGTTCACTCTAAACAGTGAAATCGCCAACAAAAACATTGAAAATACTTGTTGCTAAATAAAGCGTGAGCAAAACGATAAAGCAGAACATACCCTTGTTTGCTCTGGTTTGGAAATGTGTATGTTGGGTGACAGTGTTTGTGCTACTCTGTGTGCATCTGTGACTGACCACAAAAGTGTCTTCATTTTTGTTCTGTTTTGTTTATTTTTTGTACCGGGGATTGAACTCGGGTCCTTGTGCTTGCAAGGCAGGCCACCGAACCACTGTGCTAAATCCCTGGCCCAAAAGTGTCTTCATTTTTGATTATGGCGCTGCAAAGAAGTGTTAGCATGTAGGCAGATTTGCATGTATTGGATCCTTATGTATCCACTGTACTATTTAATTGTAAAACTTGTAAACAATACTTCATTTAACTTACAATTTAATTGTGCAACTTGTAACTTGTAACTTGCTTGTGGTACTGTTTTCTGTGGGGCATCAGGATCAAACTATATATAATTGTTAAGAGAAAGCCTGTGATACTTTTTAATTTTTATCAATGTGTGATCTCATCTTTACAGGTACAACTGAAATCCTTAAAATTCTGGGCCTGACGTAATGCTTTTCATAGTCATTTTCAGTCATCTCTCAAATTAGTTGTTAAATTAGGCAACAGATTTCTTTCCATGTTGCCACCATATGGGTTTCCTCAACTGCTAGGTGGAGATAAAACTTCCTCCTAAAATTATTTTTTGGGATTCAGTGACATTATCCCTGAAAGCACTTGGCGTAGTACCTGGTCAAAAACTCAATGAACAGTGCCATTTTTAATCATATTAATCCATTAATCGATGATGACAGTGGTAGTGCTGTTGTCACTGCTTCCTTTACTTTGCGTGGATTCCATTGCCCTTTCCCTTGCTGGCATGGGCCGTGGTGCCAAAAGGTGATGGAAATCTTGGGGAGGCCCCCTGCTTCTCGAAAGTAAGTGGACTGGTTTTGTCCTTTTCTCAGGAGTTCCTTGGGTGCTACGCATAGTCTTTTAAGCTGTTCTTGGAACTAAATCTCACTGTAATGAATCAGAAGGAACATCAGCATGTGTGTTGTATACGTTTATAAAGTTGAATTAATACTTCTAGAATGCCCAAAGCAGACACTCAACTTCTTTATAATGAAATAGTGAATTGGAAATAAATGTGATGAAATTTCCAGGAGTTTTTTGGGTTAAAAAAATCAAATATATAATTGTTTCCTAATTTGAGGTCTAGTAGGGCTGTTATTGTTTTGCTCTTGTATGTGAAGATTTGTTTTTTTGTTGGACATTACAAGCTTTTATAAGTCTAATATTTTTATTTGCCTTTTGAACTGGCTAATGTAGAATGATGAAGAAATATAAAATTGAGTACTTTTACTGTGTTGAAAGGCCCAAGGAAGGGTCTCTTTATCCATTGTTGAGCATCTTTCTGTGTTCTCTCCAGTATGAGTCTGATGAACAGGAAAAGAGTGCCTATCAGGAGTATGACAGCGACAGTGATGTCCCTGAAGAACTCAAGCGAGATTATGTGGATGAGCAGACGGGGGATGCTCCTGTGAAAAGGTAATTGTTCTTAGATTGTTTGTTACTGGGCATTTTATGTTGTGCTATTAGCACATCATAGGATTTCTTTTGAAGGTTGAGAAAAAACAGAAGATTGAAAAATTTTGGTGGTCATAGTATCATTGAACAGAAGTTATTGTGTTTAAAAAAAAATGATTATAGAAGACCAAAAATGTAGGTTTCTCTATTTCTGAACAGTGAATTTTCAAGAAAATCAAATATTTACATGAAAAGTTTTACTAAGCAGAACTTTTTTGGGGGCATTTTACAAGCCACTCATTCATGAGTTTGGTTTTTACTTTGTCCAAAACCAAATGAATTCATTTTAAATAGTTAATTAAAGCATTTTAAAGGTAGCTTTTCTTTTGATTTATACAACATATTTGACATTTCTTGTAGCAAGATTCTAATTATATTTTTAAATGTGTCAAATTAATGTTTAAATATTTAAAAATTATTATCTTGTTGAAAATATTAGATATAATCAAAGAGCTTTTAATTTAGAGATTAACAGTTTTTACAGAAGAAAAAAATGTTTAGGTTTATAAAATCAGTATGCCTTTGCGGGCAGTTCATGCTTCACATACATCAGAAAACCTCGAGGAAAAAGTAGCTATTTGCTTGATATGTGAAATTTTTTCCTCAATCTAGGAAACACAGCAATTGTGCACTTATTTTCCCATTGCATTTTGGATTCTCTGTTTGACCCTCTGTTAAGGTTGCCTCTTAGTGGTTGAATTTTGTTTCATGTTAAATTGTTCTCTTCAAAAATGATAATTAGAATTATTGTCACCTCCTCTCACTTAAATGGGCCTGATTTTTGATGTGTTGAAGTGAATTAATACCAGACATTTAGTGAATATAAATACACTTTTTTAAAATAGTAGATTGAAGTACACTCTTTGCTACTCTTAAACCCCACAGTACCTAGTTAATACTTAATTAACTTGAAGCCCTGACTAAAATTGTTCTCTGCTTATAAGTGTGCCATCAGGTAGTTGGGGCTAAATTAATTGGGAGAGTTTTTTTTTTAATTGGTTTTTACACATTTAAATTGTACATATTTAAATATCTACAGATAGGATCCACTTTGAAATTAATGTAACTATTTTGTTAGACTTCTTTATTAGATATGTTTTGGATATATTTTGGCCAAAAGGAAAGTTCTATTTGAATTGAAATGAACAAGTAATAGAGCATTTACTAATGTATGTGTATGTATATATATATATATATATAGA